ACTCGTACAGTGTGAAGGGGCCCTGATTGTTAGCCTGATAACACTCGTACAGTGTGAAGGGGCCCTGATTGTTAGCATGATAACACTCGTACAGTGTGAAGGGGCCCTGATTGTTAGCCTGATAACACTAGTACAGTGTGAAGGGGCCCTGATTGTTAGCCTGATAACACTTGCACAGTGTGAATGGGCCCTGATTGTTAGCCTGATAACACTCATACAGTGTGAAGGGGCCCTGATTGTGAGCCTGATAACACTCGTACGGTGTGAAGGGGCCCTGATTGTTATGCCTCCCCATATGTGTTATCACTAGGTTTCAGTTTGTACATACAGCACTCACACAATCTTGGGATGCTTGCTTAATTCTGTTAATAAAACTGTTGCAAATGTATTAGTTTAATAACAAAAGTCCATTGACAAGCAATATTTAACATACCTGCGCATATCTTCAGAACAGACATTTTATTTCTCTCTTTTTATTTTTATTATGTTTTGATTGACTCATTCAGTTCTTGCTATGTTGCTATTAATTGCTATTGTAGGGACTGGCTCCCAAAGGGATACTAAACACAAATGTTTGGTGTTTTATGCTTTTAATTAAAAAGCACCCAGTGAGACTGCTTGTCAATTAACTTTTTAACTCCAAACAGCTCTTTTATAAGTATAATTTGCATTTCAATTTATTTTTAATTTAAATTAATGTTTTGTTTTAAAATACTGGTTGTTTCTAATGTGATATATATATATATATATATATATATTTGTAAGCAACTGAACAAAGTAATGATTTTTCTTATGAAACCGATAAATTTGCAATATTTTTCCTGAATCAAGCAAGTGTCCCAAGACTTCCTGTGAGCGCTGTATATTGATTTTGGAAGTATGAATATAACTTAATTGACACCCAGTGGGAAAATTTCTTATATTTTGGAAAGAGTTTGAAGTTGGGCATATTTCACAAATATAATTGTCATATGTAGACCACTGTAGTGAGTATTACTTAAGCTAGACACTGCTGGAATGACAACAATGCATTCCCCAGACAGCCTGGTCACCCCTCCCCTCAACTAATCCCTACTCCTCACACCCCCCCCCAACCTCTACGGCCTCTAGCTCCCCACACACTCTCCCCACCCCTCAAAAAATCTTTTTATAAAGCTCAGCTTTGTGTGACTCAGTGTAATTAGGTTCCCCAGATCTGCATCTGTGGCTGTCCCTTCATGTGTCACCACTAAGTGACACTGCTTCAGTTTTTGTGCAGTTTATCTCCAAATGAAATGAAATGAGGCCCCAGATTATGCTGGTAAGTTTGAAGAAGATCCACAAAAATTTTATATAGTGACTGTGTTCACAAAATCAAGTGTTTTCTGCAGTCACCCTTTCCTTCCTTTTCTGCTACCTAGCACTGCTGCTTCAAATGTTGGTGTGATTCGCCTTGAAATGAAATTTTTGTGTACTTTTTGAGTTACTATGATCGCGAGGTCAAATGTCTTCTGCAGTCACCCTTCCCTTTGATGCCACTAAGAGGTGTTGCCTGGTGTGATTTGTCTCAAAATATGATCTTTCCCTCATGCAATGTGTCTGCAAAGTTTGAAAAAGATCAGTCAAATACTTTCTAAGTTACCACCCTAACATGGTCAAGTGTCTGTGAGTTCCCTTCTCTTTTCAAAATTTGATCAGTTCCAAATCTTCACTGATAAAATGTGTCTGCAAACTTTAAAAAAGGTTAATCAAAGACTATTTTTATTTATATATGCCGATCCTAATCCTAACATGAACAGTCTACTTAAATTCATAATACTTCTTCACTGACTGACTCTAAGCTCTCCATTGCTTTCCCGTTTGTGTTCGTTGTCTCTGCAGATTGAGAAGTGTCGTCCACTAGCATCCCAGCACAGCCACGGACATTCAAAGGGCCAGTGCCTTCCTGCACAGCAGCAAAAGCAGGTACATAGCGCCCCCTGCTGGCAATATGGCAGACATACAACCTGTCAGTTCCATCTCCAATACCTACAAAACAAGTTAAAAGGAAATGCACAATTACTGCAATAACTCTGTATCACAGCCCTGAAGGACTTAAAGTGTTGCAAAGGATGTACATTAAATTCTTTTAATAGACTTAAGTCATTGTACAAGTTTGAAATTCAGTAACAAATCAGTTAAATCTACTATTTATATGTAAATAAATCTTTGTTCTGTTCCATGTGAGGTTAATATGGTATGGTTAAGATTATTAAAGTGCGATATTTTTTTATTTGATTTTGCAATGATAATTATTCAGCTATTATATCTATCAAATCACTTTATCTTGGGTTTTGTATAACAATAATACATCTACCAAGAAAATAGAATGATACATGTGAGTATAAGTAGTTCCAATAGTATTAAAAATTTACAAGGAATTTAAAACCCTTTTGCGGAAAGTTAGGAGCACAGCATGAAATGTGAATTTGCTGTAGAAATGTAGAAAAGGCTGGGAACTGATGAAGGAACATGGTTCCAAAAGTGCAGTGGGCTCATGAGAGCCCAAACCTTTGTTCCTGTGCGTCGACCCTCTTCGAAAGGCTCTACAACCTTTGGCCTTCAGGCCTGCAACTCTGTAGCAGCCAGGCGACTAAATACTCAGTGTCCTCCACCCTCCATTCCTGTCATAGCAAGTTGCTTGACATTTTATCTAATTTATTCAGGACTGATGAGCATGGAACATGACAAACAGGAAGGAGACAGACCCAGGGACGGATGCCAGTGATTCTTATCACTTCTGCTTGTTTTTTCAGAGTGGGGGGAAATTTCACTTGGGAGGGGATTAAAAGTGGCTTTAATGGCCTGTGCTGTTAAATGCTTTGGGTGAAAGTAATCAAATTGCTTTCCCCCAAAATTTGAGAGCAATTGGTTTTGGTGATTTGCAAAAACAATTACAAAATGTTAGCAGTTAATGGGGCGAAGCTCTGTGCCTTTCACATGCTCTGTGTTTCTTCTGATGTTGACCAATTTGTGGACTAATAGTTCTGTAGTGGTTACAAGTGTGTTTATTAGCGCTAAATCTGTGCCCTGATAAAAGTTTGTCACATGGGCAGGTGTTGGAAACAGAAATGCGGTCAGGAATGTGCCTGTTTACCCTGTAGCTTCACGATCAGCGCATGGAGACCCGACAGTGATCTTTGTAAGATTACTGCCATGTACCAAGCTGTGTGACAAAATACAAATGTCAGGTCATCCTCTCTTTCAGCTCCCTCTTAAACCCTTATCTGTAGTTTAAGAAAGAGCAGATCTTTTTGGCTTTCATCAGTTCAGAGTTTGAATAGCGGACATTAATTGTACCTTAGGAAGGGGAAACGGAGAAGTGGGGGGAGCAAGTGATTAAAAATGGCAATTATCTTGTTGATAAGAAGATATGTTAATGCATGAAAAACATGCCGTCACTGTGGAAAAACGTGCATCCACGGATCACAGAGGTGTTTATAAAATCCCCAAATCAGCATCTGCATGGGAGGGGCCCTTTTTCTGTGTTTCCTTTCAGTCCATTTCCTTTCATTATGACTCAACAAGCTAACAATAGCAGACTTTGAGACTACAAGGTCATGCATATATTAATAGAAAATAACCGGGAATGACTCAATGGCACAGAGTGTGTTGAATATAACCATCTCCAATTAATAGATGTGATATTGATTATTTTTGTCTGGCGGCTCACTGAGCTTTATGTGCTTCCTGTCTTCCCCATGCAGTGACCAGGGACAGGTGACCACAGAGTCCCAATAAGAAAAGTGGAGTCTCGCATAACCACTGCCCCAGCACTTTAGTGAGGATGCGAGCAGGTGCGGCTGTTGCGGGACAGACAGCCTGTGAGCTCTGCGGAGACCCAGGCTACAACAGCTAACATGCTGCATCTTGGACAGATTACAGGAGATCCTGTGCCCCTATTATCATGTAATGATGTTGTTTTCAGATTTTTCAGACCTTACTTATTTCCTGACATTCTGGCAAGAGTGATATGTAATGGTGAAGCCAGTCCACATGGTTTTTTATTATTTTTTTTTTATTTTTAGCACGGCCATCTGGCGTCTGCCGCTTTTCTACAGTTTTTGTTTCTCTCCATCTGTTTTTTAAATGGGCATCATGAATTGCTGATGGAAAACCTCATACTGAAATTGGGATGTCATTAAACAGAGGGATCTGTGCATGCATGTGGGTGGGTGTTTCGCTGGGTAATGGAAAGACCTTTTAGCACAGTATTGCACCCACACTATTAGCTAACGCTCTTCAGACTCAGATTCGAGATGCCAATACTGTCATCATATGGACCGGTGAAAAGTAAAACTCTCTCTGCATTTGGTGACAAAGACAATAAATTTATTGGAACTCACATTTGTAATATATTAATGATTTTGGGATTTTTTTGGAAAAGGCAGTGGTTGAAGCTTTTTCCTCCATTGCCATCATGAATTAAGCTTGAGCATGGATCCATGTGGAGATATGGGGGCTCCGGCACGATTGAGAGGGAAGAGCTGGCGGTCTGTAGGCTAGAGGCCCCCTCTGGGCTCCACCTGAACCATTGCATCACAGAACCACATGTGCCCACTGGGTACTTTCACCCATAGTCTAGAAGACGGGAGGACATGTGTTTTCAGTTTGACCAGGAATTCTTTCTTCCATGATTTTTGTTTGTAATAAAACTGGTGAGATAAACAAACAGGCATGTACACACCTTGGTCACTTGATGCTGATCAGTCTTCAGTTTCAACATCAAACTGCCTTCTGTAAGCTCAAAGTCGTGGCGTTTTTGTAGCTTTTAGGACCGAAGTATTAAAAAAATTAAATTATGTCAAATTAGTCTTTTGATCCATTCAAGTTTAAAAAAAAAGATTATGTGTTCAGCCAATTAGAATGTAAGAGTCTTTTTCAAGGACTTAAATTGTTGTACAGGTTTGAAATTCAGTAGCAAATCATTTCATGTTTTGCAGTAAACTGGTAAAACAATTAAATATTGAAAAACTAAATCTCTGAATTTGCTACATAGATGCTGCAAAACAACATAAATTTCGTGCCATTACTTCCTATAAGTAATTTTTTTCTTTTGAGAAACTACAGTGTAGGTAGCAGTTGCTAGCAATTTATGCATAAAGTGTACAGAAATTCCTGTGATTCATTTGGTGATATATGCAGGCAGGAACAGTACTTTTGAATTCATGCGGCATAATAATTTTCAAAGGGAAATAAGTGCAGAGTATTTTCTTGTGCATACTCATTTTGTATTTTTATGGTAAACCATTGATTATAGATGAAAAGACGCAAAAAATATTTTGACTGTGTAGGAATGTCCAGAAATATGTTCTTTTTATGTAATTTAAATTGAACTAAAAGTATGACTGAATTCCAAGGATCTGAAAATGTACCAAAGCCCACATTTCACAAAACATATACAGTATACAATTTACTAAGTGAATGAAAGGATGGAACTCAGTGGAAAAGTTCTCCAAACTTAATTCACATGATTGTGGGCATGCAGTTTGTTTCAGGACCATCACTGGAAGCTTCACCAGCCTGACAGACATTTCCCATTGAATTCATATAAAATAGGATGTTTTCTGATTACTGACAATCATATCTTGAGCTGGAGGTAAACTATATGTTAACTGCTTAAGGTTTTAATTTGTAAATATATTTTTACTGTTGTTTGGCCATATAAAGGCCTGAGAGAAGATCTTTTGGTCTTAAAATAGCTCTATGAAACCTTGTGGGGCATGCAATTGTACCCTTCAGCAGGGTACTTAACCTGAATTACTTTAATGAGTATCCGGCTGTCACCATGACACTGTACTGGATAAGTGCTGTACAAAATGCACGGATGCAGTATGCCACAGTGTTAAAGGGTAATGTATAAAAAATGGGGCATGTTGCTTTTAATTAAAATGTTTGTTAACTAAATAAAAAAACAATACATTTACGTTTATGTATGGTTCCATTGGTAATAATTTCATCCATCCATCCATTTTCTGAAACCACTTAATCCCAAACGCTGTTGCGGGGGGGGGGGGACCGGAGCCTATCCCGGGGAACAATGGGCGCAGGCGGGAACCAACCCTGGGCTGTCGCCAACACACCGCGGGGCACACACACTCACACGCACACTCACACGCACACACTCACACACACACTCACGCACACACTCACACGCACACACTCACACGCACACGCACACTCACACAACTACAAGGCCAATTTAGATTCACCATGGTAATAATTTGTTTGCACTGAATGCACTGAAAGACTACAAGTAAGAACAGTAATATGGGCCCTAAATATACAAAAATAAAACCCCTATTATGCTGTTATTTTTGTTACATATTACACAAATACTGGCAATACGGCACATATAATGAAGCTACTGTTTGATGGTATAAAGTTATGAAATGTATACTACATAACCTTCCTCATGCAAGTACTGGCATGGGCCAGGCAATCAGGATGACCTGAGATATACTTTTAACAAACAAAGGTACAAATAGCCTCTTAATTACTCACATAATTACGATATGGGTCTTAAGATATAATGGGTGTAAGGAAATGATAAATAATATTTTGTTACAATGGCTCAATTGGAGCCACTATTGCCTCACAACTTGGAGTTTCAGAATTCCAGCTCTGTTCTGTGGTTGTGCAATTTTTATATCACACTTTCCTCCCGGAGCCCAACTGGAATCTCTATATTACCCCGAGTGTATGATTATGTGTGTGTGTCCTGTAATCAACTCACATCCCATGTAGGGTGCAGCTCTGCCCTTTGCCTTGGGCTTTAGAAACCTTCCCAGCCCTGACTAAGAGGCTAGAAGATAGGTGGATGAATGATGTTTTATTGCCCCCTAGTGGATAATATCTAGTACATAGGGTACCTAATTCTGGTAATACAGCAATGAGTATATTTAATTATATGCAGGACTCATATAAAGAGATTTTGCATTTTGAAGAATAACCAAGTATTATCTATCTATTAGTTTGTTTGTTCATATTTCAAGCAATGCATTTTGTCTTTAATTCCCGGAAAAAATACCATGTCAGTAATGATTTGTAACTACACAGGCTGCACTTGGGGCTGATTTGATTAAATATAACTTCAGCATTGGACAGTGGCAAGATGAGATGGTTTTATGGTGTTGATCCCCAGGGGGAAATTCTCTTTTTTGCCTATCCCATCTTGCTCTCCGTAGGTGAGAACAAGCTTGGCAAAAAAGGGCAGACACCTCTTGCATCACCCAGAGAGGGGGAGGTTAAGGACTGTGCTGAAGGATCTGCAAACATGGTGAGACGGGGCTTAAACCAACAACCTTCCGATTACAGCCAAAGAGGCTCAGCCCACTGAGCCACGCGCTTACCCCAAAGATGATGAAACGACTGTTCGGTTGATTGACAGTGAGAGTAAAGACTGATCTATATTTTTGTGTACAATCACATGTCACAGGTATGGCGTAGCTGTGTATCCCACGCCTATACGCCTACGCGATACCCTAATGCTTCTCCCCAGAAATGTAACTACAGGCATCAGACTACAGTGTAGGGCACGTAGCTACCTATGATGCAGATTTTGTGCAGAAGTATAAACCAGCCTTAGGAGTGTGTCCGGAAGTGGGGCTCCTGGTATTATGTTTCACAAGGGTCACATCAAAGGAAGCAACCTTCATCGACGTAGGAGCACCAGAGGATCCATCCATCCATCCATCCATCCATCCATCCATCATCTTCCGCTTGTCCGGGGTTCAGGTCGCGGGGGTAGTAGCTTCAGGAGAGATACCCAGACCTCCCTCTCCCCAGCTACCTCTACCAGCTCCTCGGGGAGGACGCCGAGGCGTTCCCAGGCCAGTCGAGAGATATAATCCCTCCAGTGAGTCCTGGGTCAGAGGATCCAATTACTGTGAATTTCCGCCCTTCAGCCATTGTTCAAGCATTTCATAGAAATGATTAAGCAAATCATAATAGGAGATTCATTGTCTTTAATATAAGCCTACATTGGAAATTTACTGGAATTGTCTGGTTCTTTTTAAAGAAACCTATGCATTTGTAAATGTCTTGACATGTTATTAAACCACACTATTCAGTAATCATCTTATTAAAAGGCAAAAAATCTTTAGTTTTTGTGACACAGAATAGATATTACATTACTCTGTACAAATTTGAACAACAGTATTAGCAAATTATTCAGGCATACATCACAAAAATTGAAAGAAAAAATCTTACACATTTGACTGTTTGTAATTGACTTGTCTCATTTTCTTGGCATTTGATTGGCAAGTGGATTATTTACATGACTTTTCCAAACAATGACTTCGTCCTTCACAAAATATAACAAATGCACACCGTGTAAACAAAGGATGTATTTTGAAAATGACAGGAAATTACATAAAATACAAATCATTTAACTGTAAGAATTTTAGATGCATCAACATAATAGTGTTTTACACCTAAACCCATTAGTAAGATTATTTACAAACATTTGTTTCTAATACATAGACAAACATTTTACTTTAAAGTATGCATAAATAGGCTAATTTAAACTGTGATGAAATATTATTCTTGCATTTATCTGTATATTCTGCACAATTCTATTTAAATTACCATGGACTATGGCCGAAATATGCAGGGTGTGAAATTATTTTGTGAAAGATAATTAAATTAAAAACCATTGGTTAACCATCGTTAACCAATTAGAGGATCAGAGGAGTTATGTGACTCGTCCGACAGAGAAAATATATGACGTAGGTAAATGTATCGACTTATATAAATGCGGCATGCATGGTCTGCAATATGCTGCCAGTCCTTGGCTTCCGGTTCTCCACTTCTGGTTCTCTTACTCTTTTTTGATGGCATTGAGCAGAACACTAGCACCCCCCTGTGGTTCCATTGTGGGCTGATTTACCCTGCCCCTCCTATCTTGGTGGGTTTTGACATGCTTGGCCAGGTGATCGCTCCTCATGAACCGCTTTCCGCACTGCGAGCAGCTGAAGCGTTTCTCACCGGTGTGTGTCCGTAGGTGGCGCTGCAGCTCATCTGACCGAGTGAAGTTCTTACCGCAAAAGAGCCAGTTACAGATGAAGGGCCGTTCCCCGGCATGCCAGCGTAGGTGTGCCTTCAGGTGTGACGTCTTCTTGTAGACTTTGCCACACTCGGGAATATGGCAGATATGGATCTTCTTCTTGCCCTGATCCAGGCCGCTGGCTGAGGTCTGGCAGTTGGGACACTTGCATCGCCGGCAGCGACGAGTGGAGCCCAGGAGCGCTTTGGAGCTGCCCTGAAGGAAGGCGGTCATCTGAGGCTGGTGACCCAGCATGAGCTGCCCTCCCAGGGAGAAAGCATGGCTAGGGGGAGAGGGGTTACTTTGTGGAAGGCTCCACCACTGCTGCCCCTCATCCACAGGTCCTCCAGAATGATGGTGCCTGGAAGAGGAGCTCTGCAGGAAGCTGGGGAAGTTCTGACCCGTGCTATTGGGGTGACTGTAGCAGGAGCTGCTGCCTTGTCCCTGGGTGGAAGAAATGACCTTGACAGGGGAGAGATCAATGGAGTATGCAGTGGAGGGCTCAGCAGGGGGGGTAAGAGGCAGCTCATGGTGATGATGGTGATGGTGGGAGTAGGAGCCCAGAGCAGACTGCACATGTCCAGGGAACTGAACCTTAGCTACTGGGAAGGGCATCTGATGGGCAGCGAGGCCAGAGCCAGGTGCTATTTCGTTGCTCCAGAGCTGAAACATGCTGGATGTGGAGCCTACTGCCACCTCGCAGGGGAACCAGGGCCCCTCTGCCCCAGGACTGCAGCCGAGTGGCCAGGACTGGCTGCGCGTGGAGGGCAGGAAGGACAAGCAGTGGGGGCCTCCGTCCGGGGAAGAGCTGGGGGTGCGGTCCTGCCAACAGGCCAGGCATAACATTACCATCAATAACACAAAACAAACTATTATTATATTTGTGATGGTAAAATTTCCTGATAAAGAAAATGCATATGTTTGTTAGTTGTTTTACTAGTTTTTAAAAATATATATTTTATAACCCGAACAATTATATCACACATATATAACACACATTAATCTAATGATAGTTTCTAGTTACATCTAATCACGTTCAACTGATTACCCATCTCTGGCAATGAAAAATTAACTACTGATATGTACAAATAAAGAGTCCACGTTTATGGAAAAGAAGCTTAGATTCATTTATACAACAAATGCTTTATTTATCATTTAAATAAAAAAACGCACGCAACATCGTCTATAACAAAGTTGTCAGTAACTACAAACAAGCTAAGGTTAGGCTTTGAAAAAAGTCCATGATTATAATAAATATATATAAAGAATATTTTTAAAATGTAGACTTCCGTAAGACATACATTCCATTGATCTATTCATTTATTACTTGCCTTTTTCCATCAACAATTTAACAACATTTAAATGCATTAACTCATTTTTAAATTTAGTAAATGTTACCCAAAAAAACTATAAACATACAGAAATCTGTTTAAAATAATTCTGAAGAGTAACATTTGGTTACGTGTAACAAAAACACCTTGATAATTTCCGACTAAAAGTACAACTTCTAGGAGGTATACGTGCTGTTACAGTAGGCAGCTATTGTATTTTAAGACAAAAAGCATAAGATGTACAGAAATGGTCCACAAACCTGTAGGAAGGTTTGCAGAAAGTTGTCAGTCCTGGGTAATGCAAGTGTAGCCATCTGCATGCGCGCGCTTCTCGTTCCTCACCTGCAACACTGGCTGCGTAGTTAAGGCGCACGAGCACGCGCCAGCTAGTAACTATCTGCGAAGAACAGCGCAGTCATCAGGGTCCAGAACAAAAGTGAAACCAAGACCAACAAAAGGGTAACAAACTGAGAAATACGAGGATAATCCCATGTGTTTCTGGAATCGATACATCCAATAAAACGTGTTTAGAGTCTCCGTGCCCGTTACAGGCTT